AATCCTGAAAATAAAAGTTAAATGCAGCCTCACTCTCAGTTTTCATAGATTGTGAGTACAGACGGGACATTCTATTAAAAGTGACTCAGCAGTGTGCAAACTACACCACGACCTTTAGGGAGCTCATCTTTTTAAAACTATATTTTCAAGCTCATAACTGATGATACAAGATTTATAAAGTGTGTTTATGTTTCCTATTCATAAGAACATGAGTAATGATAATAGGAAGAAATGTAGCGGCTGCTGCCTGCTGTCAGCACCACACATGGTTTGTTCTTCTGTTTTGTTTCATAGCAAGAAAGTGTGTTTTTTCATGATCTTTGAATTAAAGCAAGTGAAGTTTAATGATGACGGCAAGACCAGCCTGCATGCTGGTATCTTTATTAAAGTGAATCAGTGATGAATCACTCTCATGCATGAATCATGCATCAATGATAGTCTAAAGTAAGCCTGATTCATGATGATGAAGATACAGAGAAACAGAAACGCATGACAGAAATAGCATATTGATGATTTCACAAATCATGTTTTATTGGGAGGTCATGTTTGGAGGAGCCTCCGTGAGTCAAGATTAAAGAGAGCTTTGTTGTCGATGTCTCAAACTAATTACAGTTGAAAAGCTATTAAGATGTCAAGTCAGCTAAATTACAAGAAGAACAACAAAAGGGTGGTCACATCTTACTGTCAAGATGCGATCAAAAGCGAGATGTGCCAAAAGGCTGATCCACAGAATTTAAAATGACATTTTAATTCATTATGTTTACTATGAATCAGTTACTTGTTTCGTCTTTGAAGGTCAGAAAAATGTTCATCCTACTTTTTAAGAACCCAAAGAAGCCAAATGTAGAACAGAAATTTACTTAAAATACACACATTTAGGTAAAAGTAGTCAAGGTTACGCATTATAATATTGCATTATTGTTGTTGTTGGTTGAACATGTGTGAAGAAGCAGTTTAATGTTTCAGCTGGTTGAGGTGGAGCTAATTTTAACAAACTGATATCTGTAACAAGTTATTAAAATGTTTGTGATGATTGTGTGTTTTTATTAATCTGGAAAGTAACTGTAGATATTAAATAAATGTACAAGTTCAGTCTATGCTTGAAGTGGCAGTATGCAACAGATTAATCTCTCATTGTCTTGCAGTCTTTGGTTGTTTCTAATATAAAAACAGTAATAATTGAATCAGTTAACTGAGAAAACAGGTTTCAACTGTCCAAAACAACCTCTGTGTAAAGAAGCTCCCTGCAGAGCACCGTAAGTTTGCCGCCACTAGAGGAGGCTTCACTTCTAGTTTAGGTTCAGCTTGAACAGCAGAGTGAGAGAAACTCAGACAGAAAGCTGGCACAGTTTCATAAACAACATTTAATAGGTGACGCCCTGTATCCACAATATCCAACTGTACACATGTGACAATGCCAGTTACTGTATCTTTTGGTTTGCATAGGTGTTTGTGGACTGATCTCACATGCACCATGTCAAACAAAGCCAAGGCTGTGTCTATATTTGCTGTGATCAGCGGAGCGACAGGCCACAGGGCGTGTGGCAGTGAGGGCGACATGCTCTGATGCTGATCAAAAGACCAGGCTGACTTAGATCTGCAGCAGGACGTTACTGCTAGGGCCCCCTGTGCTGGATCAATGACTATGCAGTACAACAATGCGTGTGCGTGCGTGCGTGCAGCAGCGTAGGGGTTAAACGTGTGCATGACGACAGGGTGTAGCCAGATTGACTGGTGGTGAGAGATAATGGGTGGGGACCTGAAGGTTTCACTGATGTTAACTGTCATACAGTTACAACCTGAGCTGGCTTATCAGATTCTTGTGGATTTTTGACTTCCTCCTATCATTGCATGGTAGACAGTGTGTGGGTTTGGCTCAGTGTTCGCTAGCTTCAGGCGCTAAATGCTTCACATTTTAGCACTCTAAGTAGCATTTTGATGTCGTAGCTGGTCTGAGCGGAGCTATTTTTAACTAAATAATACACAGCTGAATAGCTGATGTGTAGCACTGCACCATATTTAGTGTAATTACTATGTGTTGCATGTAAAAACATTATCTACAAACCAACCATAGCTGCCAAATTAATATATAAAGTGCAATATGTCCCCTTAATTAAATTAGAGAAAAGCATAATGTATAAAATTGAAATGGTGGAGTTGTATTTCACATGGCTTGAACTTAATCAGAGCGCTTTAGCGAGTTTATTCCCACTGCTGATAGCAATTGATTTATAGTGTTTACAACAGCTCTACCATAATTCCTTGTTTGTACAGGTTGTAAAAGTTTGTATTGCACATCCCAGCTTACACATACATACAGTCAGTTTAATATCTTTTGGAGCCTTTAAGATGACTGGAGCTGCACTCCTGACTTTGATAATGTTGCTCTAAAGGGATTATTAAGACGTTTTGGTTTATCTTGGAGGTACAAAAGAGATTTTCTTACCTGACCTATTTTTACTGTTTGGATGAAAGAATCCAACAGGAAAATGAATAATGCATCAGTTTTCTTCTTCTATTTGCTGAGCCAAGTCCCTGCTGTGTCTTCTGCATGTAATGAAAACAGCAGCTCGAGATGTGTAGTGAAGTAAAATAGCTGTTAAGTAAGATATGAAATGATTTCACGTTGAGCTTTAAATGAACCGTGAGAGTATAAAAACAAAATGTGTGTGTATGAAGAGAAAGATGTCACAGCAATAACCATTTCTTGGTATTTATTTGAATAAATTACATTAACTTTTCACATTTTTTTTCTTTACATCAAGCGTACAGTTTTAGAATCCAGTGCAAGAATAAAATAAAACAAAAACAGAAAACAAAAAAACAAAAAAAACGATCCAAAGACAATCATGTGCAGCACAGAGAATCCCTCCTGTCACATTACTTCTGGGTGATATACTGTATATATACATCTATACTGTATGTGTATATTTTTGTCACACTTACAAAAATAAGATACGTTACTGTAGATGCGGGACTATACACACAAGGTGAAAACAAAACACAAAAAGCTGTACAGTCCTCATTGAGGGCAAAGATACACACGATTGTTAAAAAAAGTGAAAGAGATAAAGAAGGAAGGAATTGTTTCGCCTTAAAAAATAAATACATGACCTCTTGACTATTTTGCTATTCCTCCCCAGCCAACAAAGTGTACCGTCTGTTAAAGTTGTGCTTCCCTTTAAAACAAAAAAACACTTAATATGGGTTATCAGTTGATTTTGCATCGCTCATTGTGGTTCTATTGGTCCTTTGATCAAAGAGACATCCATGTTTGTTTTAATGTTGAACACTGTCAGAGACAGTATATCTTAAATACCTCAGTATCAGAGGTCCTCCGCAGCCCCGTCCCTGTGCATAACACGTACAGTATGCAAGCCCAGATACACAACCCTCCCCCAAGTTACACGCACAACATTACTACAAGATGGGAGAGAAAATAGTGTTGCTGCTTCGCAGACTATTTAGCTGGAAGGTTAATACATTGTCGACATCGCAGAGAATGAAACCTCAGGAGTAACGTGTGCACTGCGGCACCTAACCTGACTAAAACATACAACTGGGGTGGATTTGAGTTCTGGATTATTATTAGATCACTAAGAGACGGAACACAATCCCACACAATACTGCATACAAGCATATGGCAGGTCAGGGAAAATTAAACATCATGTACAACAGTTTTTTCTGAGGTCTGACACGACATGGAAAAGGGGAAAACGGTGGCTTTTTGTCTTTAATATAACAAAGAAAAGGGGGTTTTCAGTGTAAGTTGCATCATTTCAATGAATAAAAAATTTCCACCGAGACAAAAACAAATGAGATGAGATCTCATTCCACTCAGCCATTTGTGCACTCCTTTGTCCTCCATAGAAAGTATTCACGTCTAGTTTCATCTTAATCAAATACTTATAAAGCTAGAGACAGAATACTAATTGGACTAGTAGGGATGCAGCAAAAGGAACTACACCTTCAGCTGCAGAAACAAACTGTTGCCCCAGTACAGGGCAGTTAAGTCCTATAAGTTATTATATCACAATACATCAACCATTTTTTTTCACATTGCTGATAAAATACATGTCGGAGGACTGAAACTTATGCACCATAGTTTTTCTCACATCACTTCAAACAGTTTAAACTTCACAACTTGTGTTTTTGCAAATCATGTCGTCACTTCACTAATCACTGGCTCAGATATGTAATGTCACATACTTAAGAATACAGTTTCATCCCCGCCTAATAAAATACCAAAGAACTAGAGATTATAAGCTTCACCCTGTTGCATCGAACAGAACTGCTGACACCTTCTGTTGGAGTTTATTTAGGTTTTAACAGGTAACTTTGGTATCTAAATCACATACGATCGATCACGCGCACATGTTGATATGTGAAAATTAAAACTACTATCTTTGTTGTCAGCTTGATGAAACCGTTTACAGCTTTTGTCAAAACTCCTTTGGATGGAGTTTGAAGGGCACGACAGGGACGTGGTTTCTCCAGAAACTGCCCCGAGCATGTCAAGAGACCACTACAGTTAGAAAGAGGACTATTTAAAACAAAACTACTTCAGTTCAACATATGTTATTTAAGATAAAATGTTAAAACACTTGAAACCATGCTTGACCTACAGTCTAACAAACATGAAGCACATGGACCAAGTTTTTTTTTCTCTTTTTTTTCCTTTTCTTTCTTGTAATATGTGAGAGAAAATCTTCTATCTACTGTAGAGGTTTCCACAAAATACAGTGAATGAGAGAAAGTGTGATTTTGCAAAGCTGCTTTGATAAACTCATGACGGACTGACAGCCAACTCAAACCGAGACAAAAGCCGGGACAGAAAGAGATAAATGACTATGGAAGCCTGAAGGTACCTCCTGGGATAAAGGGGGAAGCAACAATATAAATGCAGATTTTTTCCTCATTTCCAGTTTTTACGCTCACTTGGTGCATACTTGCTCTTATTCATCATCAACCTTGTTAAAATCTCCACTCGTTATTGTGTTGTTGCTGTTTTGACTCCTTTAAAGCGGAGTAGAGGTGGTTAGTAGGAATGTTTAGGAAATGGTTACTGGGGATACTGAGGGGAGGAAGGAGGCGGGAGAAGAACCGGAGGCCAGGATTTGTCGCAGACACGGCTGGTAGTCGTGTCGTCCTAGTGGGGCAGCGGCACCAGGATATCCACATAGTTGATGGGGAAAAAGCCTGAGTTGCCGTGCAGCATCCCCTCGTACCAGTTTTCATCGATCTTATTGGTGAGGGTGATGATATCGCCTTCCTTGAAGCCTAGCTCACCTTCATTCTCAGGGTCAAAATCGTACAGGGCGCGACAGCAGGGCTGGTCCATGGGGGCTGGATGGAGAGGAGGATGGAGGAGAGATAAGACAGGAAAAGGAGAGTTAGAAACGGCTAGTGGAGGAGATAAGATGCAGCATATAGATTAGAAACATATTGACCACAAGAAAAGCTTTGTGAAAGGCTCACCTGGAGACCTGGCTGAAAGAGGGAAAGAGAGGAGGAGACAAAGCAAAGGAGACACAAAACAGGACCATCAGAGAGCGCAAAGTACGAGGAGGTGTGCAGCGTTTAAAGGAGTCGCTCAGCGTTTTGGGTAATGCGCTTAAGTATCATCTTTCTGGTAGAGAGTTCGATCAGAGAGGATGAAGAACATTTTCATGTATTTTGAGTTGCTTGTGGAAATGCGTTATTGCTCCTTGTGGTTGGTAAAAACACCCTCTAATAAGTGCGGCCTCTGGGGGCAGTAACGAACCATTTACACAGTGAGCTGAAGGCAATGCTGCACTAGAACATGTATTTGTACGATTTATGGTTATAAAAAATGGTTTTAAACACTATTTTCGGGTATTTTGATGTAAACATCTCAACGCTAGCTTACCTATTTAATTTCAGGAATGTATCACACTGATGTCTTACTGCTTGTCTACCAGGCACTACTGCATTTATTCTCATGTTGTGTCATTTAGCTTTTTTCAGAGCAATATCTGGCACAAAAATTTCCCTTGGGATCTTATATTACTGTATCATGTCGTATTCTACCTTATTTTGTCTTATCTGATCTGATCTCAAGAAAAACTATCTGGCTGTTTTGGCAAATGGGTCTGGACACAATGCTTCCTTACTATAAGACCTAACTAACATGAATGAGATGAGGGGAAACAGCTGGCATGGCCCTTTCCTGAGGTAATAAAACCTGCCTTACAGCACCTTGAAAGCTCCCCACTTACAATATTCTATCTCATTTGTTTTATCTGTTATAAAATCAAAGTGTAAAAACTACGATTCATCCTTTTCCTGGGATCTGAGTGGCTGTCCAGCAGCTCCACAAAGATGCTGCTTGCTTGGGATTTTAATTTAAAAAAAAAAAATCAATAGTGGACTTTAGAGATGAATTTGGTAACTTGAACAGAACAAGGTTAGCTGTCACAGTTAGTTATCTGGCAGCTGGTTATGGCTTCATGTTTATCGTACAGACAGGAGAGTCTAATTATCTTAAGTAACAGCAAAGAAATGAGCAAATAAACGCATTTCCCAAAATGTTGGACGCTTCCTTTAACCACAAAAGAAAGATGAGTAAAAGAGAAAACGGGTTAGACAGAAACAGCACTGCAGACAAGCTGCACTGCAAACAAAAGAAGACAAAAAATACACATATTGAACAGTCCATTTAGAGAAAAATAAGAGTGACAGAGAGATTTTTGCATCTCTTTCCAAGTCACTCTTGCTCACCTGGAGATCTTGCTGCAAAGAGAAAAGAAGAAAAAAAATGGTGAAATTTGTATTTTAGTGGTCACATCTTTTTTTTAAATGGAAAAAATAATGGAACTGATGGACAAGCACGGAAGGCGCAGAAATGATGAGGTCAGTGAACAGCAAGAGGAAGCTGGACAACAAATTGAAAGAGAGGTGAAGGAGCGGACAGACAAAGAAACAGGAGGATAAGGCAGATCAGAAAACCGACGAGAGAACACAGCAGAAACAGCAAATGCTCGTCTGCTGCTCGGCGTTTTATTGTCATTATCGATCGGACGTTGTTTGTAAGGCAAGCAGACGGCACTTGATTTTCTGCTCTTTGTTGGTTTGGATCATTTAAGAACAACAATTTTCTTACAACAGAAACAAATCAAAAAAGAAATGGATGGGGAAAACAAACGAAGAGATATTGTTGTATCTCTCCAGGATTCACTTTTGTCTCACCTGGAGACCTTGCTGCAAAGACGGAGGAGGAAACAACACGAGGGAGGGAGGCAAGGAAAGAAGTAGAAGTAGTTCTGAGTGAAATGATGCCACTGAAGAAATGATTGAGTGAACACATGGATGTGGAAACAAATTGACAGAAAAGAAGCACAAGTTTGACCTGGCTCACCTGGAGACCTCGCACCTAAAAGAACAAACAAAAATCATAGCGGGAAAGAGAAGAGTGCAGAGTTGTATTGGTTTGTTCTGGACTGTTGGTACATTTGATCAGTGAAGGTATTAACTGGTAATAAATGTTGGGGAAAATGCTGAGAAAAGAAAGATAAAATTAGCAAACACAACAAATGCACTGTGAACTCTCAAATGTGTTTTATTTGAAATCGGGTGTTCCCTCCTTTACAAATTTATTCTATTAAAAAAATCTATATTTTTTTCTTACATTCTTCAATACGAAGCTAATTATGCAGTGTAAATTCTGTGTTGGGTAGTATTTCTACTTTTGTCTATGCTTGTACTTATTCTACTTTGTGATAAACAAATCTCAACAAAACTACCTGTTTAAATAAAAGTAAATAGATACATCAAACCTTCCTGTTTTTCATTGGCTCCCATTGGCAGCAAACTTAAAACATCTAGGAAACATCTTAAGCAAATATTGCATTTCAGTAGTTGGATATTTAGAAAATAAGTTTCTTGACCAAAATAAATTTGTTTTAAATTCTTCTTTAAATTCTTCTATTTGTAACTATTTGAGAATTCACAGTAAAAATGAAAAACCAAGAGGGTTGAAAGAAAGAAAGAAAGTCATAAAATAAATTGAAACCAGCCCAGAAACTATCCTTTACTGGAAACTCATACAAGAAATTCATTTTTTTCTGTGTCCAAATGAACTTGTGATATTCCATAATGACAGACAGCAGTGTAGCGTACATATACAGCACCAGGACTAGTTTCTGGACGTGTTTCTGAACATTGAGGCTTGTTTTCTGGGTCTCACCTGGAGAGCGAGCACTGTGGATGCCTCCATTGTGGTTCTCACTGATGGAGAAGTCCAGAGATGTACGTGGTTTCGGGGCGTACTCTTTCCTCGGTTTGGTAGAAATTTCCCTTATCCTGCAAAGAGGAAGATTGACATGATCCACGTTCTGACAGCGTTGCATTGGTCAATAACAGTTTAAACATGAATTAGTAAAAGCAAGTACTGACCGTTCGTCAATCTTACTGGAGAGCTGCGTGAGGATCTCAGCAGCCCGGCTGTGATACTCCACCTGAGCATGGACCAACGCAGCCAACTGGCTCACCTGTTCAATCTGTTGACAGACACAGAAGAAGCACAGGATCTACTAAACATCGACACCGCTGGCTGAGGATTTGCTGACTAAACCTGTAAAGATTCAGCGGTTGAAACATAAGGTGCCTTATTGTTGTTGCTAATTCATTTCTGAAATTATTTCCCAAATAATTATTAAATCTATTAAATCAATGGTGAAAAAATTGCAATTTTCCCAGTCCTAAAACGACAATAAAAGTTGTTTTTCCTGAACTGCAGCTATGACAACCAAAGATAATCAACAAAATCATCAAAACCTAAAGTTTTCAGTGGTATAGGTTGCTAGCCTGAAGGTTGTTGTGTAGATAGTGAAAACGGTGAAACACATTTTGGATCAGAGGCTACAATCATCATTTATTAGTCTGAAATGAAACCAGTATGGCCTTAAACCTGCATTCTGTCTGACAGCCAGCAGGGGGCGACTCCTCTGGTTGCAAAAAGGAGTCTGATCCTACAGAAACAACGAGAAAATGACCCGACTGCTCACTCGATTAGTTACCTCAGTAAGTTGAGGAGCTGACAAAAGAGGGTATACTTTTAGGTGTGCCTACCATATGATAAACAAGTAGCTACCAGTGTGCATAGTGACCCCTCGCTCATCACATCTGATTAAAAAAATAAAATAAAATAAAGTAAGGACAAAAAAATGCGAAACCCGCAGCCAGGTCAAGTCTTTTCAGGCATTGCATACTCTGAACCCTGCATAAAGTGTGCAAACACTGCATGAGTGACTACAAATAAACTAGAGCAACATCTGAAACCACTCTGGATGTAGATGTGAAAGCTGTTTGCTAAAACTGTATCCTTAGCTGACACCTGTTTGAATACAGGTCACATAAGGAGAGTGGTGGAAACCACTGATGCTTGATTTGACATTTAAAAACTTCAACTGCACAGCAGAGCAGACTGATGCTTGTGAGTGTTGCATTTGGAAATCTTCAACTCGGGACCTAAAATATGTTTCTATTTACAAAAAGAAGTAGCTGGTAATATAGAAAGCGATGGGGGCTTCTAGTACGTTGAGAGCCATGACTCCAATTTATTGGCAGGGTTTGAGGTGCACAAAAGGGTAATGGAAAAGTGTGGGTAGTTTGAGACTGTGAAATAAAGAAAGACTACTGAAAAAATTTAACATTTAAGAGTAAAATAGAAACTGAGACAATGATGAATACAATTCATGAACACGAAACGGGGAGGCAGGCGATAGATGCGTATTCCTTACATCACTCTCCAGCAGGTTGAACATGCTCTGCTCAGCAATCTCCTTAGAGTCGTCAAATTTCTCAAGTGCTTGTTTGATCTCATCTTCTGTCACTTTGCCCTGACGCTTCTTCTTATAATCAAAGTCCAGACGGCGGCCCTCCATTTTCTTCAGGTGATGCTGCAAAGGACAAACAGAAACAGAATCTGAATCTTAATCTGAATCCTTAAAGCAGGCATGCCTTTCTTCCCTCCTGTTGTGTATTTAAGTTCTGCACTCGTACCTGAATCTCCTTCAGATCTTTTTCATGGAGGTTCTGCAGTGGATCAATGAAGTTCTGCTTCACCTCCATGTCCAGAGCGTCCTTGACCTCTCCGAGCTCACGCATGGCTTCCCCAGCATCAATCAGAGCAAGGCCTGGAAAAAAATAAACACACAATTAGATGCTAAATGGCACTTGAATGATGCATTTCAATGCCAGATTATGCCAGTGTGGAAAAAGGGAAGCGTCACTGAAATTTGATGAGTGCCCATTTCAGTGAGACTGTCTCATTAGAATCTACAGCAGATTTTGAAGACACAGGCTTCTCTTGAAGTCAAATTTTAATACCTTCACTTGTGAAGTAACTAACAAGGCAAACTGCTGTTATCTTGTCTGCAAAACAGGCTCATACATTTTTCATGACATTGTTGCTGCGTCCTTGAGGGAATAAAATTATTCCACTTTTGTTCGTATGAAGCCAGTAAAAAAATATTTGTGCTTGTCAGGCTTTCTGAGGGAAACTTCAATGTGCTGCAGCTCACCAAAGGTAGACTCCTCTCCGAGCTCCCTGCCAAACCTCTGCATGGACTCCCCCAGGATGGCCTCAGTCTGTGTGTAGCCGGGGCCCTTCTCCTGGCCCCGGATGCGTGACATGGAGTTCATCATGCTCATCTTGGCTCTGGTAGCTGGGAAGACAAAGCGCTAATGAAATGAAAGACACCTCTGGGGCAAATGTTTGAGCATGTTTTAAATTTGCGGGCCAAAAACACCAGAGTCAAATTTAATCAGAATGCCTCATTGTAGTTTCTTGATTCCAATTAATTTGGATCTTATTTAATTTGAGGATTACTGTGAGCAGAAACAGATGCAAAACCCGCACTGGTAGAATTTTTAAGTTCAGACAAAATTCAGATGCACACACAAAAATCTGGTCTTTAAAAGGCCCATAAGCATCCTGGATAAACTGTTATTAGTGTGAGGTGTCAAACGAAAGGTAAATAAACAAAAGTGGCAAGCAGGGTTTCATTTATGAAGCAATTTTGGAAATGATGGAAATTACAATAATTGCACATTTTTAAAGAAGCTATTGTACAACAGTTGTTCTGTTTATCAATTTTATTGTGACTGTTAGCATTTAATAAAGCCCAATTTAGTAACTATGTTCATTAAACTACAGCTTTATGGAAACTGTTCATCTGCACAGAAGTGGAATGATAATGAAATCATGGCGATACGACTGTGCTGAGTTTCTTCAACTGTTGACACACTTTCACTGTCATTTTTTTGTTTCATGAATAAAAAAATAAAAAGAAATTAACAGCAATATTGGCCTGTGCAACAAATGAGGTCAGAGGTTGTGAGCTGATAATGGCTCAGTTTAATAAATTCTCTTTGAACTCTCACTCAGCAGCCATTTGCTCCTCCAAGAAACAGGCAAGGGATGTTAAAATGAAGCTGACTGACGCCTACAAAGCAGAGAAAGGCTTTAACAAGATATCAAAGTGCTTCCAGTTGGCAGGTTCCACTGTCTGAAGTGACGTTAGGAAATTCAGGGGAACCGTGGATGTCGAGACAAGAGCCAGAAGAGCAGAAAACTTTCAGATAAAACTGCACATCTGTTGGGCTAAGCTAAGCTGGAGGAGCTGCAGGAAGGTTCAGCTGAAACAGGAGCGCTGATGCATCACTCCACTGTGCAGCAGCGATGCACAAACACGGAAGGAAACTTTACCTGCAGCATCATCACAAAAGCCAGTCACTGTGCAAAATGAGCTTTTTGGCCACAACCAACAGAAACGTGTTTGAAGGAAAAAAGGGAGCAACATTTGAAGGACCTTGTTGGCAGAACAACAACCTGATGCAGACCTCAATATCTACCATGAAACACAGAGGAAAGCTGCTGAAGCGTCCCTCACAGTCCCCTGAGCTGAACATCATTAAAATCTGTAGATAGATCTTTAAGATGATGCACATGCAAGACGTCCTAAAAATATCTGGAGGAAGATCAGCTGAAAATGTCCTCAATAAGATCAGAGGGACTCTTAGCTGGATGTAGAAAGCAGTGTAAGCCGTAGTTACTAAATGTGGAATTAGTTGGGCGTTCAAATGCACATACAATATTAAGAGTAGCAGTAGTATGCTGCAAATGTTATTTTTTTAATGATTTAGTTTTCTTGGGAAACACAAGAAATAGGAACAATTATCAAATGCATTGGACCGTCTTGTGCAGCTGTTTTACGTTACCTGGGTTTGGCTGCAGATACTCAGTGGTCTTGGTCATGATGTCCAGCACTGCTCGAGCGGTGGTGTCCACCCTCTGTCAACATAAAACAGCAAAAAAAGCACCATTTAAGGATCTTTCAACCTGCCATTGAGCAGAGAAAAAAAAAATGGATAGAAGAAAGTGTTGCTTTGTTCTGCAAAATGGTGGTGAGAGTGCGATCAGCTTTGGCCGGGATCCTTGTTTCAGAGCAGCTCTGCACCAGTCTGAGTGTCTACGTACAGCACAGTGGAACCACAAACATACAAACACACATGTTCACGTGTAAATACAAACACACACATAAATGCACGTGTGTTCATCAGTACTGAAAGTCTAAAAAAACACATGCAGTCCTGACAAAATGACACCGGAACAAATACTGGTCACAAGAAAAAATGACTGAAGGAGGAACTTCTGGAGAACTAAACAGACCTGTGCTCTTGTTTGATATGCAGTTTTTTTTTTATTCCTCTTTGCTATTTGATCTGATCAAATAGCAAAGAGGAATAAAAGATAGAAAAATATATTTCTATCTAAATATATATGGTTGTTTTTTTTTTTAAAATTAACAATAAATTAATAATAATAAGTAATGGGCAGTTTAACATTTTCAATCAGCTCCTTTTCAAGATTTGAGTGCTGAATTTAATTTTAGACCAAACAATTTCATAACATGGACCTGGTGGGAATTTATGACACGATTACTTCTGTGTTAGTCCCCCAACATTTTAACAATGCAGCAATCTAGTAATAATTTCTAGAATAGTTATTACTCCACAAGGTGATGATGAGAGAAACAGAGTTCAGACGTGCCTTTTCCATTTCGGTGAAGTCCACATCGAGCTTCGTTCCTTCTGCTCCTCCAACCTTCTCACTCACTTTCTGCAAAACAAAACAAACACTTCATCAGCTCAGCAAATGATGAAAATATGAAATGCTGCAAATATTACAGGTCAAAGCCATGTCAGCAATGCAACTCAACAGAGATAAAACAAACAACAGATTTGTCAAAAGTGTAACTTGTAAGGGCAAAAATAGCCTGTATCAGAGTATATTGTATTTATTTGACACTGCCCTCAGCTAGAAATCAGTGAGATGTAAATAAATCACACCGATACTGTTGTTTACTGTCCTCATTAGGAGAGTGCTGTGTCTTTCTGTTTTGATTGAGATAATAACAGAATGCAATATCAGTTTGACCTTGAGTTCACACAAAAGAAACAATTCTGCAACGTGAACTCACTCCCACTGCAACATCACCAGCACGACATCAGGCTGTGTGTTATTGATTTACATCTCAGTGGAATAAATCCAGTATACATATTTGTTGAATGGTCTCTTAACGCTTTTTAAAGGAATATAAAGCAACTTTTTTTTGTTTTTTTTTAGCTTGTGACCACCTGAAATTTACATTATTTTTAGAGGCCAAATGAAATGTTTTGCAATGAAAAAAAAGAAGCAACAAATTGGCAAAAAAGTGAGAAAAAAAACATGTTGTATAGCAGATATATATATTTTATTCCTATTAATTATGTGTCAGCTTTATGTCAGAACCCACACAAATGTAAACAGGCACATTCTCTCTCTGCGGACAGTTTCCACAGAGCAGACCCAGAGCTCCTGATTTTTAACCTTCACTATCAGGTTTCACTGTTTAGCAATGGATCCTGCACGACGTCTCGTGTTTGATACCGATGCAGCAGCGGAGAGATAAAATACTTATGAGCGTCCAACGAGCTGCAAGCGTTGGCACGTACAGCTTCAGACGTGGCACGGATCCATGTGCGCAGACGTAAACACAGAAATAACTCGCTCACTCCCTGTCTGCTGATAACAGCTGCAGCTCTGCCACCATCCAGCTCCAGTCTGTGATATAACCAGACGCCTTGAGGGGGCAGCATGCTGACACAACGAGGCCAGACTCAGCCCTCAGAGGATGGACTGAGGGAGGAGGACAGGCTTTCAGGACGTTGTTTTTTTTTTTTTTTTAATTCACTTGATTTGTGCCCATGGTACTATACAAAGAGACCCAGCAGGAGGAAGGGACATCACAATGCGTGACTAAAGAAACCATGAAAGCTAAGGTCAGCCGATGAAATTTCTCCTCGAGTGAAATAACTGAAAAATCAAACAGAATTCTTGGACTGAATGTTACATTACTGGTTCCTAAATATCTGTGGGTATCTTAGTTTTTTAAAGTCTTTTATTCAAGTAACTGTCACGATGCTGAAATAAGGAAATATTTGGAGTTAAGCGACGCAAAACGAGACATATTTTGGTAAAACACATGTGGCTGATCTGTGACAGACAGAGCAGCGAGGTTTGTAAGGCTAAGCCCGTGACAGCAGTTTATGCAGTGTAAGACTTTGTGAGGATTGCTTCTCTCTGAGTCATCGTGGCAAAGTCTCCTCTGATCCCACTTGTGAAAGCTCAATATTCTGACAGCAACGCAAAACACATACAGTCAAAGTCGAGCAGCAAGCTACATGTCCTGTCATTAGCTTCACCTACACATCACTATAAAGTCTTCAAAGCCTCCTTCAGCTGGTTGCCATGGAGACGGGTACCTGCCCATGCCTGTCCTATCAGGTGTTGTATGTCTCGGCGTCTGTAACTTTCTCTTTTTCTCCTCGCTCCTTTTCTCCTGCATCATAGCCTTTCTCCTGTCTCACCTGATGACCACACACCAGCAGGGAGCTTCGTGATCATCACTGTAATGTATATGACCGACATGGTGTGTGCTTCTGAGCCACAGCTGCAGGGACACTGCTGGGGTTCAAACAGTCCATATAATTACATACTGAACTACTTTCCACCTGGGATGTTACATGAAGGCAGCTGTCATCTGGTTTCAGGTGCAAAAAATGACTTTTATGGACAGTAGAGTTTATATACTGTTTATTGGAGGCCATGTTTTAACTGGAAACTAGCACTCTACCTCCAAGCATGCTTAACACTGACGTTAATGAGTCATTGGAGCTGATTAAAAAAAAAGAAACAAAAAAAGGATAACATCAAAGTATGTTCAGCGCTTTAATCTTGTCAGCATGTAGGCTGATAATATTTAGCTGTGCATAATGATGTCATGGCTGTTTTTGGTGCTTCTGCAGGATTCTGCCAATTATTTTCTCTCTCTACAGAGAGAATTAGTCTGATATTCTGGCCCAAGATGATGATTAGTGTTGACGTCCACACCAGGTTGAACATGTGCAAGAAAAGCTTAAAGAACATTTGCAATTTATAAAACGGAACATGTTGTCTTTTCTGGGTTTTGTACAGACAATATTATACTCTAGTGAGCAGCATGGACACCATGTTTCACAATTTTTGAAACCACAAAAAGAGGATGAATTTGAGGCTCTGAATTTATACATAAATATGACAGCAGACAGTAAATATAATGCGCTATACAGGGAAGCACATGTTTTTTTTCATGTACAGCTTTAGCTTTGAGTCTACAGGAAAGGCTTACAGAGCTTAATCCTTTTCTGCAGTCACTGTTTTGTACCTATTTACGACTGATTTTACAAACCTTTATTCGAAGCTGAATACCTCCATGTGTAAACAACACAACACCCTGGTGATTGACTGACACTAAAAAAGACACCACTACATGTGCAACTGATTTAATTAATTTATCTCAGTTTTAATGGCATATATTCAGTATGAAAACTGGTTTTCTGTGTAGATTCCCAAAAAGAGATTTTATTGCATCTCGTCTAGTAAATGAAGAAAATGTTCAATTCACTCTTCAATGTACAAATGATGCACCAGTTGTAATTAAAAGAAAAGGGAATTTAAGCACTGATTTACACATTTAATCCCTAATGCAAGTCAATAACAGCCACACTATTACAACTCTCTACTTTCACCCATATCTTGGGTTTGACTCTACATGTCCCCTATAACCACTGATTTATTTGGCTTACAGATACAGGGAGGCTGAGCAGTTGCAGTCAGTAGATCTAAGTCATTTCTTCAGCTAAATGGATGAAAAACAAGTCAGTCAAGCGGTGTCTGTGGGGACCCGTGTAAAGCTCTTCAGGGGACAAGTAGCTAAATGAATAAAAATGAGCTGTTGGTTGCTGTTTTGAGTAAGTGGAACAGCGCTTCTCTGCCTGCCGCTGCCACTGGCTGCTGTCGATGCACGTTCAACCCCCAGACACTTGCAAAGTCAGTTGCACTGATGGCTACGAGCTGAAGACAGCGAGTGCAGCGATGGAAGGAGGCTGCATGCCAGGACGTCCTCACATTAAACGACTACATATAGCATGTCGCAGCCAATAGCCGAGGGAGTGATGATTGATTCTGCTGCTCCTAGTGACTTACTGCACTACATGCAAATGCAACGCAAGCCAACAGTCTCACCTAATGGTCAGGAAGCCAGCGATCTAAAACCTCCTCCGGGGAACCAGCAACAGTCACTGTGCATTTATGCAAAACTGCTCTCTTTTTGTCCCCCTAATGTGTCTCTCATTCAGCGACCAACCTCGGCCTCTTCCCTCCTCACCCATCACTCTCTCTTAGGCCTCCCCTCTCCTCTTTCTCAATCTCCCTGCAGGGGAAGGACACGACAAGGTGAACTGAGCAGCAGTGGCGGCACTGTGAATTGAACCTTACAGAGATCAGTAAATTGCGCAGTTGGCTGCCGGGAAATAGCAGTAGTGACGTAGATGATATGTAACCTGTGACGTCACAGCTCGGGACGTCACGCACACTCGTGATGGTGAAGACTGTCATGACGGATACATGTGAGTGGACGCATGAGGCAATGCAGAGACACAGTTTTGATGCGTATCCAGGGCCAGGCTGTTCCTCACACACTGCATCCACCGCATTCTAGGCGACTTTAATGTAATTCTAAACAGATATACAGTACAGTGTGATCATACTCTGCTTTGAATGATAGTTTAGGCCTGATAAGTTTTTTATTTATTTCAGAAAAATTTAATTAGCTTTTGAAAAACTCTTTAAACCACATCTATTCCTTAAACATAACTGAAAAGAATCAGTGATTTTTCTTTTACATATTAAACTATGGGTGAAAAGAATTTTCCTAAAAGCTTCATGTGCAGTGGAGGATTCAAGTTTCAGCATTGCACTTGTGTAACTTTCATATTGGACCATGACTGACTTCCAAACCGGCTGTCACAAAATCCTGCTTGCAGGTGCACTCAGTATCCAACTGAGATGTAAAGATGAGCACAGAGAAACTTCACACACTCAGCAGGTGAAGACAAACTCTGCAAATACATCATTCTGCACAGTAAACGTGGAGTAAAGATCAGAAAAAGGTGTTTTTAATTGAAGGGGACTTAAGCTATGAACACTAACTGAGCTGCGCAGGAAAAATGCTGGATTCAAATTGCGACCTGATGGTGGCGCTGCACAAAAGGTTAAGGGATTTGCAGAATTATTGCCTGGAATCCTGAGGGACTTTCGCACCAAATTTCATGGCGATACATTTGACAATTAACTCAGAAACATAAATGTCACAGCCGTGGTGGCACTAGAGCAAAGGTCAGGGGATCAAAGTTAATGAAATTCATCCTCCTGGGATGAATGAGTGAATGTTTGCAGGAATTCAGATAAATCCTCTCCAAAGTGGATCGATCACAAACGCTAAGAAGACAAAACAAAAATACTCACTGACACCTAGATAACCTTCAGGTTTGGTTCACATAACACTTTTGATCCTTACTCTCCATTTTTCCCCCCTGCCTAACACCCAGGTAAACCAAATCAGATTAAATATGCTTACTGGGAAGAGGAAAAAAACACCCAGAGATCCTGCCAAAGGCTGCGAGATGTCCTCCTTTCCTGTCCTAAAATCTCTTGCATCATCACTGGGGTCAGACAGCAGTGTGTCCTGACATGCTCTC